TACTGAGAAACGTCTGTCATTAATTACTCACCCTCATGTTGTTCCAACCTGTAAGACCTTCGTTCATCTTTGGAACACAAATTAAGATATTTTTGATGAAATCCGAGAGCTTTCTGACCCTCCATAGACAGCAACACAACTACCACGTTCAAGGCCTAGAAAGGTAATAAGGAAAAAATTCATAAAATTAAGGTTGAACCACTGATATCACATGGACTATTTTACCGATGTATTTACTACGTTTCTGGGCCTGGGAACATTTCATCTATGCAGGGTCAAAAAGCTCTCAGATTTCATCAAAAATATCTTAATTTGTGTTCCAAAGATGAGCGAAGGTCTTATGGGTTTGGAACGGCATGAGGGTGAGTAATTAATTACATAATTTTCATTTTTGGGTGAACTATCTCTTTAACATAAAACGTTTTAAGTGAATGCTCGCCAAGACGGTCGTTTTGACATATTTCTGTGTATATTTGGCTTAGGCACACTCAAAGCCCGAAGTATACTTTGATCTCATTCTGAGTCTGAGCATGTAATGGAGGAAAAAAATGAATTAATTATGAATTGTGCCAAAATGCCTGTTCTAGTTGTAAAACAATTTCATTATGTTCATTGTTAATGTATTGAATGCACCTAAGAAGAGGGGATTTAGAGACACCTACAGGCGATGAGAGTAAAAAGTGAGTTACGTCAGCCATTCTCTCGCTACCCATGTGAGATCTTTTCCAGGAGAAACGAACGAAAGAACCAGAAGGGGTAACAAGCACATAAATCTGACTGAGGAACAGCTTCTCTTTCGCAGCTTAAAGCACTTTTGGTAACGCTTTAGATTACAACCCGCAAAGAACTATGTAAGTATACTGAATTTACGGTGAACGTTTCTGTAATTATAGTGTAGACTACCTATAAAGAACATACGTGTAGGTATAAGGGAACAATGTGTTACGTTTGGGTAATAAGGGGGTAACAACCAGATATGCAACCTGCAAAGAACTGCGTAAGTAAACTGAAGTTACAGTGTAACTTTTTTGTAATTATAGTTAATTATAGTACTACCTATAAAGAACATACGTGTAGGTATAAGGGAACAATGTGTTACGTTTGGGTAATAAGGGGGTAACAACCAGATATGCAACCTGCAAAGAACTGCGTAAGTAAACTGAAGTTACAGTGTACCTTTTTTGTAGTTATAGTGTACCTATTCAGTACCTCCGAGTAGGTATAAGGGAATAATATGCGAAGTTTGGGGAATAAAGGGGTAACAACCTGTAAAATTACAAATCATTTATACTGTAAGTATTTTGAAACTAAGAGGTGCTTATTCTAATATTACGTGGTATGTATGGCCTAAACAACAATCTTATGTTTGGGAATGATTTAGAAAGACGATATATACTTTTTATAATTTTATATTGGTATTTTATTACAGGCGTATAGGTATTTTTTAACCATGGGGTACACATTCTATTATTAAAGGATGGACATGATGGAGATTACTGAACAACAAAACTGGACATCTAGTGAAATGAGTTAATGAGTTTCTGCTATGATTTATAATTCACGAGTCTACTTGCCTTATGAAAGCTCATTTGTTGATTTCAGCAACTTCACACCAGCAACTTCTCAACACCACTATCACCAAATAACTTTGCATGATATACCATCAAGGTTCAATGCAGCTTAAAACAAGCTTACCTCTTTCCAGCTGTTCGCAGAAAAAATACATGATACAACATTTGTATTTCAGAGGATGTATACTGTGGTGTTTTTATAGCAAAAAAAATGTATAGGGTTTAATTTGGCCATCGAACAATTAAATTAAAACTAGTGCAATATTTTTCTCTGTAATTACTGTGCAAATATACACTTGTTCTGTGTTTAAGTCCAACTTGTTCCTCCCTTGTTCCATGTAGTTACAGGGTAAATACAACATTTGCGGGCTGTAAATTAAAGTGGTGCTTTGTTCCCCCTTGTTCCATGTAGTTACAGGGTAAATACAACATTTGCGGGCTGTAAATTAAAGTGGTGCTTTGTTCCCCCCTTGTTCCATGTAGTTACAGGGTAAATACAACATTTGCGGGCTGTAAATTAAAGTGGTGCTTTGTTCCCCCCTTGTTCCATGTAGTTACAGGGTAAGTGGCTACAACAAATTGCTCTGAAACGATTGTTTATACATTAGGTCATACATACATACATTATATATCAGGTATGTATCAATAAACATGGTGGACTGTTTTATTTAATTCAAATATTGTTTGCAATTTACTATAGGCCTACTGCTGGGTTAAATTAACCAAAAAATGGGTTTTAAAATTAAAATCACACACAATATGACGACAGTAACAACACAGGCAACAGATAGCCTAATCAAAGATTAAAATTTATTACACCAGTTCAGAAAAAAAGCAAAGCAACTCCATACTTATACAGATTATACAGTTAAACCAAATTCTTTTGAAAAGCTTGTTTAAGAATAGATTTTGTTCAATTTTTTCATGTTTTTCACCCACTGACTTAATGACTAGTTGATTAACTAGTAATGACTAGTTAAACTATTATGGCCAAACTATCACGCCAATAAACACACAGGCTGAAAGCCTGTAATAAACACTGAAAGTCAAGATTAAACTGTGTATTATAGCGAACTGACAGGATTTTACTGTCTTTGATTTACCGTTTTGTTCCACGTCCTCAAGCACCATTTTGACTAACTTAGTTCAGTTTCCGGTTTTACCGTTCATCAGTCGCTGCTCAATGTTGTGAGAACATACTCGGACAAAACCCTCTAGTTTTAAAAGAACACTTTCCAGTCAGTTTCAAAAATCTCTCTCCTCTTCGTGTCGATTAGTTTTCTTGTATTTTCTACACACATTCCTCCGCAAACACAGATAGACTCGTCTCATGCGCCATTCCAGCTGTTTCCAGGTCGCGCTCACCACATTCACTGCTGCAGTTTTAAAGGAACACGCTCCAGACAGTTTCAAAGTTGTCCCTCGTCTGCGCTTCGATTAGTTTTCTCCTATTTTCCACACATGTTCCTGTCTTAAGCACCGCAGTCACGGATTTTGTCGCACACAGAGCCGTTCACGTTTGAACTCACGTGACTTGCTGCATGCTCTCATTCACGTCCTCCACATTCATAACCCAGCAACATCGGGTTATTACTGATATCAACCCAAATTGGGTCAAATCAAGCCAGCTTCCTAACCCAACAGTCTCAACCGAGCGTTTGGATTGAAACAATTACCAGCGTGTTTTATATGTGTAGGCTATAAAAAAGTACACAGTGTATGTTTTTGCTAAATCGCTTGCAAATATAAGAGCTGTAAATTCTGTTTACTTACGCAGTACATTGCGGGTTGTAATCTAAAGCGTTACCGCACTTTTAATAACTTTTTTTCATTATCAAATACTTCCCACAATTTAACAACAGTATAGGCCACTTTTTATGACAATCACTGATTTAGCTGATGTGGATGTTAATTGGACTTTTAGGGAGGAATGAAGGCACTGTTAAGGAAAGAAATATGAAATATGGTACAACAAATATTGACGGTTGAAAAGATACAATTAGCTTGATAATGTTTATGTAGCAATAATCAGGGTTTGGGAAGGTTACTTTTAAAATGTATTTCACTACAGATTACAAAATGCATGCTTTAAAAAGTAATTTGCAATGCATTTAGTTAGATTACACAAGTTTTGTAACTTAATCTAAATACTTTAGAATACTAATAAGATATGTAGTACAAAGGGCTCTCTAAAGAAAAATGTCATCCACCAAAAATAGGACTTTCCTCTGCATATTTTTTTAACAACATCAATTTTCCACAATATTTCTTGAAGGACAAAATGCAGATAAAAAAGTACACATCATCCTGTTCAAAAGTTTACAACCCCAGCTCTTAAAGCATTGTGTTTCATCAGTAAATGTTTTTACCTTTTGTAATAGGTGAGCGAGTCCCTCCTCGGTTGTCACACAGTCATTGTTGGAAAGGTGTCAATTATGAAGAAGATGCTGGAAATCCAAAGAATTTGCAGGACCTGGAGGATTTTTTTGAAGAACAGCAGGCAGTTTAACTGCTCAGGACAAACAAGGGACTCACAAACAGCTATCACAAAACATGAAAATATTTGTGGATTATCCAGGTAACAACAGACCGTTAAGATTCAAGGGAAAGTACATTTTTATGGGGCAATTTTTATCGATTCAGTTACTTTGTCTTGTGGAGTGTATGTCAACATCTGTTATGTGAACTAGCTTATTCAGGACAGTACTAAATTAAAATAGCATGCATTTTTTATGGTCCCTCTTATTTTTTTTTTATTAAAATTTTGCATAAACTGAACTGTAGCTTAGGATGCTTTTGCAGACTGTCAGAGTCAAAGAATCACCAATTGCTGTTTACATTTAATTGCCTGTTAAAGTTTGCATTAATTTTTAAATAAAATAAATGACATATAAATTCAAAGTAATCACTTTGATAACCTAAATTACTTTTCAGATGTAACTTTACTTTGATTACCACCCATTTAAAATGTAATTATGTAACTAAGTTACATTTACTCCATTACTCCCCAACCCTGGCAATTATAATGATAAATAGCAAGTGTATTTCCTTAATTTCTCCAGTACTGAAAGCAGATCTAATAACCTCAGAGCTTTTCGATACTACGGTCTTTCATAATTTAGCCCCAGGGCATTTAATACAGGGTTCCAGTAGCCATTCCTACTTTACAAGAGAAGCAAAGGAGGATCAGTTGCAAAGCTACACGAGATTATACCTTGAATCTGTTTTCTCTCAATACATTGTAAGTAGAAAAATAACTAGTCGTTTTAAAAAGAACAAATTAGAAATAAATCTGTCTCTCTTAAAAGTGTTACAGCCTCTTCTTGCTTGTAATGTCTGGTTAGGACAGATTTAAACAGATGATATTTTATTGCTTGATGCATTATTGTGTCGCATTTGGTACGCGGCATCAGATCTGAAAGTGCTGGATCTGAAGATGATCTATTCACTGTGATTGTTTTTTGTATAATTGCGAAGAGAAGATGAATGATTGAAACGCTTTCCACATGCAGAGCAGTGCTACGGTTTCTCTCCAGTGTGGATCCTCTCATGTGTTTTCAGACGTCCTGAATGACTAAATCTCTTGTCACAGTGTGAACACTTGTACGGTTTTTCTCCAGTGTGAATCCTCTCATGCATTTTTAAACAGTTCGCTGAAATAAAAGTATTTTCACACTCAAAGCACATGTACTCTCTCACACCAGTATGTATTTTCTGATGTCCTTTCAAATGATGTATGCGTGAAAAATTATTTCCACATAAAGAACATGAATGTAGCTTCTCCTTTGTATGAAAGTTCAGGTGATTCTTCAGGACTGAAGCCCACAAAAATGTTTTACCACATTGGTGACATGCATACAGCTTCTTATTTTTATTATTACATCATATTATATATTACATCATCATTCTGGCCTGGGCACTCTTCTACCTCATCTGCTCTTTCAGTTCCCAACTTCCATGGGCCAGCTGTGATAACATGTGGAACACAGGTGATAATGTGACCCTCATATAAATCAAAACAAATCTCACATTATATCTGGATAATATGCTGTAATAAAAAGGTTTTCTGTGTTGTAGACAACTGTGTAAATCTTGCTGCAAAGAATCTGACCATCAGATGGACAACACTGATTAACTCAACGTCTGCAGCTACTGAGTTCTGGGAGTAAACACAAATTAAATCATAATTTTTACTAATAACTATATACAAGTGTTCTTATGTGCATAGAAAATAAATGTGTGCACATGCAACCTAACGATTCTTACCTTTCTGTCTCTATTTATCATGTCATTATACAGACGAAGAGTGCTGGCTCTCTCTGGGGGTATTGAAGAGGTCGGTAAGATAAACTGGGAGATTCTTCTGTGTGTGGTTGCGATGTGAATCATATGTTATTTCTGCATCTGGAAAGAAGTCAAATCTACAGGCAAGGTGTGTAAGTGTGAGATTTTATTTCTGTCTGTTATTTTCCGAAGGTCAACAAATAAGTTTCAGCTGTGTCAGAAGGGGAAAAAAATTACTTTATTTGTAATAAAAAATAGTTTTGCTTCTTGATATCAAATTAATATAACCCTTTCTTGTATTGTGCCTATAGGTGGTGTATTTCACAGCTACATTTCCTTATGTGATGTTGCTGGTCTTGCTGTTTCGTGGGTTGACTCTTCCTGGAGCTCTGCAGGGGGTTGTGTTTTACCTGTACCCTGAACCGTCCATTTTTGCTGACTCACAGGTAACCAGTGTTGGGGCAACGCATTACATACAGGGGCATAATGGTTAGAGACTTGTAACCCAATGGTCGCGGGTTCGATTCCCAGTATCGGCAGGGGTTGGACGTTGGGGGGGTGGACTAAATCGTGGACAGCACCTTTTTCTGCCCGAAGCCGGTCTGGTCCTTCTTCCTCCCTCACTACCCTCGATGGCGGTGCGGCTAAGGGGTACGTGGAGCTCCCCCCAGTGGAGCGGTCTGTGGCGATGCAACTGTGTCCCAAGACCGCTACCTCTTGGTGGGGTAATCCGCGTCTCCCCTCCCGAGCGTGTAAGTTCTCGTCCTCTCTGGTGGGCAAGGCTTACACAGCTTGTGGAGAAGCCGCTTCTGCCCTGCATGCCATGGCGCTCCTGCAGGTCTACCAGGCCAAAGCGCTCAAGGAGCTGCACGAGGGTAGTTCTGACCCAGGGGTTATGCAGGAACTGCGTGCAGCGACGGACCTCGCCCTACGGGCGAAGAAAGTCATTGCACGCTCCCTGGGTCGGGCGTT